CCATAAAGTCTGGTCTCTTTGTTATGCAGAGCCCCAGAAGTCTCTGTTTGCCTTGCTTAATTGTTGGTTAATGACTGAAAAGAGATTTCTTTAAATGCCTGGAACCAGCAAGTCTCCAGCCTCTATCTGAGGGATCTTGTAAAGCAAGTTGGATCCTGTCAGTCCTGTGCCAGTGCCTCTGATGGCTTCTGTCCCACTCAGTGAAAGAGAAGTGAGGCTCGAAATGGCCTGCAAGAAGACCCCTTTGGGCAGGTCTTTTTGCTGACCTCACACAGGACAAGCAGTTGTAGCCAGAAGGGCTCTGCAGTTTCTATATGCAGTCACTTCAGTTAAGATGGCCTTCGCTCCCCTTCCTCCTCTCGTTTCTCCTCCCATTTGACCCACAGTGCCTGTTCACAGGGTAACTGTTTCTTCTATTGTCTTAGCGGGATTTAGTTGGGGGGGCAGGGTTTCTGCTTAGCTTTGCTTTCTTTCTCTACAGTGGAAGGTGTTTCACTTGATGGTCTTAGACATCTTAGCTGTCCATTCTTGTATGAGAGTGAGGCCGTGGGATGCTGCCTGGGAATCACTCTGTGCCTTGTCTTGTCCTGGAAGTTTTCCTGTTGACTCTTTGAACCAGTTTCCAGACACAAATGCCTCAGGACCTTCTGGGCCCTTTGGCTTTCTGCAGAGAACACTTCTGGATTCTTCCTGAGGTAGAAGCACAGCTGTGCACACTGTGCCTCTGCCTTTCAAGGGACAAAGGATGGCCCTGATATCTAACCCAGTTGTCATTTCAGCCCCATAGCCTGAGCCTCTGCCCCTTTGTTCCGTACAGCCCCACAGCCATGTGGTGCAGCTCAGGCTTCTCCTCCAGAGCGCTATTCTCTGGTCTCCTCAGAGGTGTGGGATTAGGTGTTTACTAGCCCCGGCACCTGCTTTCTTCTGTCGCAGATGCTCTGTGAGGGACTGTCTCTGCCCCCCCCCCCCCTACTCACCCTGTGCATGCTCCTGTAGACCAGGTGCACTCTCAGTGTACTCCAGCCTCTTCATGCTTCAGTCCTTTTCATATTCGTTTACTGCCATTCTAACAAGGCTTGGGGTTGGGAGCTGCCATTACTAGCTGAAAGCACCTTGTAGTTGTTAGTTTTGGTTTGCTGTTTGCCTGGGATGTCAAGTCTCCCATGGCTCTTGAATGCAGACATGCTGCCCAGTGCTCATTTGTGCTTTTCAGAGCCATGCATAGATTAGCGGTCCCTTGACCGCAAACAAGGCCTGTTTGCTTCACTTGGCCTTATTTCTTATTATTTCAGTCTAAACTATACCTCTAAACCAAATCAAAGTTAAATCATAGAAGATAATATTTCCCCTTTTCAAAAGAAAGCCTTGCTGTGAGGTAGCGCACATCTGTGATCCTAGCACCTGAGAGGCAAGGATAGGATGATGAGGAATTGAAGGTCATCTTCATGAACATTAAAGAGATGAGGCCAGCCTGGGCTAACCTTGTTCCCAAGAAATAAAATAAAGTAAATCTTAAGCACTGAGATTAAATCATGGTGATGTTAACCCAAGTTTTAGGAACAGGGGACAAAGGCTACAGCAGAGCGGTGCACCTTTGGATGACTCATAATTACTCAGGCTAATGCATGTAAACTTGGATGTGCAATTAGGCAGCTCATTATGCTGCAAATGCAATTACATGCTTGAAGACAGTCCCTCCCTTTGGCTCACCTAGTCTGTGATCGCTCATTATTAACCCTCAGCAGTCAGAATTGAATACACATGCCGGTGATGGTAGGCTGTGGAACCAACATGGAGTAAGCTGTAAGTTTTAGGAGGAAATACAAAAAATCTATTCTCTCCCTAAAGAATAGTGCAGTACAAGCATAAAAGTTATCATGGATAAAAATAGTGGCCCACGATATTTATATTATAGCTTATCTAAGTTTGGTCTATATTCACTACATGAAGCTGTATTTAGTATGTATATTTATGTTGTAGTACAGTGCCATCATCTCTTTCTGACCTGTAAATTTTTGTTTTGTCTTACTTTTGGTTTTTTGTGACAGAGTTTCTCTGTATTGCTTTGTTTTCTGTTTTGGAACTCACCTTGTAGACCAGGCTGGCCTCCAACTCACAGAGATCTGCATGCCTCTGGCTCCTGAGTGCTGGGATTAAAGGTCTGTACCACCAACACCCATCAAGTAATATTTATATTTAAAAAAAAAAACAAAAAACTCCTTTTTGAAATTTTTTGTAACTGACCTGACTCTTTAGGGTGCAAACTTGACCTAGATTGACATTGATGAGGTGCTGTATTATCTTCTTTGTCCCAAATATGTGGTGCAAATATATATGATTCTTCTGTAGACATTCTTAATGGGTTTAATAGTGGACTACTAACCCACAATCCACTGGAAGTTGCTTACAGGAATATGGGTGAAGAGTTATTTACAGGAGCAGAAATTTCTCAAAAGACAACTGTATCACCAAAGACCACCCCAGCACAGGTGACAGTCACTAAGCTGGAACCTAGAGCACATTGCAGAGCCTACAGGCAGCTCACCAGGTTGGAGAGTGTCCTTCCCAGGTGCCTCAATTGGTCTAAACTTCAGGCAGCTCAGCTGGCTTCTGCTGCTTCCAGGCAGCTGTCTGGTCTCAGAGTCATCTTTGTACCTTAGCTTGTCTGAGAGGGACTCCCAGCTTCTGTAGTTTACTCTGACAGGGAGGGAGGGACCTACTGAATCCAGTCAATTTCAGGAACTTCCTGGGGCTCCCCTGCTTCCCCCAGTGTAGCTTTGGAGGTTGTCCTGGAAGCTCTGTAGACCAGGCTGGCCTGGAACTCACAGAGGTCCACCTGCCTCTACCTCCCGAGTGCTGGGATTAAAGGCGTGTGCCACTGATGCCCAGCCTTCCTGGGGCTATTTGAGTTGTAGAGCTTCCCTTCAGAATAGACTGCTTCAATCTTGGAGGAAACTGTTGTCTGACACTTGCACTTTGGGGGGTGGGGGTTTGCAGCTACTAAAAGAGCTCTTGTGCTTGCAAGTGCAGAAGCTCTTACTCTTACCAGTTCTTCCAAGGGGCCTGAGCTTCTAACTTGTCACTGGGTTCATTTCAGCTGAAGTCCCTGAGATGTAACTCTCCTTTGGACCCAGTTCATTGCTGAGTGTGACTAGGGCTTGTGTGCGTGCGTGCGTGCGTGCGTGCGTGCGTGCGTGCGTGCGTGCGTGTGTGTACACCATCTATATCTTTCCTCTGGGGGTAAAGTTTAAAATTCAGAGGGATCATGGCCAAAAAGTGCTTTATCCATTGTAATGTTGAGCATAGGTGTCTGTTGATTTCAAGCTACTACCCCACAATTACTTAAACCACAGTGGTTCCTTTAAGAGAGTCCCTTGTGATTTTTTTAAAAAATGCGCTGTATTTCTTGAAGAAATGTCTGGAATCAAACCATTTTGTTTATCATTTAAAATATAAACTGTAGAAATGGTGAACTGGTCTGTAAGGTCCCTCTGCTTGTAAGACTTGATTTCCATGTTCTCAGCCCCACAGCCTCTATGCTAGTGCACTGGGGCCTTTTCCCTCCTTTAATTGAAGAAGATGTTAACAAGGGCTGTTCTCCTTTGCTATAGCTGGCTCTTCCTCTACCTTTTCAAAAAGTTCAAACTTGAGTTCATAACTTTGATTATGATTTTGGTTTTTCCTCCTGTGTAATTACTGCTGAAGTAAACAGGTAAGTTGTCATTGGAAGTTCCATTTTGCTGACCCAGGTTCTCTTGTCTGTAGTATCCCCAGGGAATGAGCAAATTTTCCTTGAAATAAGTACTGACCTCAGTGGGTGTGGCATGGGGCAAGGGAAGATACTGTCACCAGTAAAAAGCTACCCCACAATCACAGTGGTATTGTAGGGGAGAGGAGGGTCTCATTACATTAGCTTGCTATAAGCTCTGCTCAATCTCCCAGCCTTTCCCTGGGCTGCCTAATAGGTCTGCCAGAGTCTGTGTATGAAAAAAAAAAAGTAGGTACTAATTATATGCAACATTCTTTGTATACTAATGGTTATTTCAGACTGGCTAGAACCATACTTGGTTTTTTTTTATGAAAACACTTAAAATCTCTTACACTGTCAATAGTTGTTGAGAGTTGTCACATATTGCTATTGTATGTGTTCAGGAGGGGCGAATACCACGTGTGTGCATATGTGTAAAGGCCAGAGGTCGACCTCAGCTATAAATCCTCACGTGTCTTCACTTTTGTTTTAAAGACTCATTTATCGTTGACTTGGGACCCTGTGATGGGGCTCTGTGATTAGGGTTCACTGTCTAGCCAGTGAGTCCCAGGGGCCTGCCTTCTCCATCTCCCCAGTGCTGGACTTGTGAGCACATGCTACCACACTTAGATTTGTCCAGCCAGTGAGTCCCAGGGGCCTGCCTTCTCTATCTCCCCAGTGCTGGACTTGTGAGCACATGCTACCACACTTAGATTTGGGATTTTTTGTTTTGTTTTTTAACACGGGTTCTGAGGATCAAACTGAGATCCTCGTTCTTGTGTGGGCTAGGTACTTTATTGTTATTTCAGTGGGGAGGTCACATAAAATTAGGGTAGGATTATCAAGTAGTGGAAAATGTTGAGAGGAGGTAATTCTTACCTTAGGCTTTTGCTTGTTGTGGTTGACAAGCCTTTTAAAATCTTGGTGCTAAATACATATTGTAGAGCTCTAGCGCTGTTTTCAGTGATGCACATGACAGGTAAATGAATAGAAGTTATTATAAGGTATCCGAATTGCCTGTCTGTCTTTTGATAGTTCTCATGTAACAACACAATACCTTTGCACTATTTCCCTTTCAAGACTAAATTCTTCTGCTTTGTTTATTCCTTTTCCATTTTATTCTCTGCCATGTTTACACATACTGAGCTGTCTTTCTTCTGATTGAAACAAGTACAACTGTGATTAAAGAACCCTGGCAGTAAGGTGTTGTTGGTGACATAGTGACCTTTAGTTATATATCCTGCCCCCCCAGGTTTTGGGTCCTGCTCCCAGGTGGTGTTCCTTCCTGGACAACTTGACAGAAGAATTAGAAGAGAATCCGGAGAGCACGGTGTATGATGATTACAAATTTGTCACCAAGAAAGACCTTGAAAATTTAGGTAAAATGTGATAAAATATTTATGAAATTGTCTTATTTCCATTTTAGGAGTTTCAAACATTAGAATTGACTGAACTATTTTTATCTGATTTTCCTAATGTCCCATTTCTGTCAAATCAAATATCAAAAATATTCTAAGTGACCAAATTTATAATCTCCGCTCAGAAAAAAGGCTTAGGTAAGTTCAACTGGCTGACACTGAGCAGTAAGTGGAAGAGGCTTGCTTTTAGCACACTGAAGACCTGTCCTGAGAGTAGAGCAAGACTTTGAGAATTTGATAAATGGAAGGGTAATAACTTTGAAATCTCGCAGACTGTAACCAGGTGGTTCTTGGGTCTTTTAGATTTACTCATAAAGAACCTAATCTAAAAGTTAGGATTCAACGCGCGGGCGATGGTGGCACATGCCTTTAATCCCAGCACTGGGGAGGCAGAGGCAGGCAGATCTCTGTGAGTTCGAGGCCAGGCTGGACCGACAGCCTCCAAAACACTACAGAGAAACCCTGTCTCGTAAAACAAAAAGAAAAAAAAGTTAGGATTCAAACCTTCCAATAGAAAAGCCTCTTTTTTGTTTGTTGGTTCTGTTTTGTTTATTGAGACAGGGTTTTGCTGTGTAGCCCTGGCTGTCCTGGAACCCGCTGTGTAGACATGCAGACTGAACGTTCCAGCCAGCAATCTGAAGTGCTCCAAAGGTCAGAACGTCCTGAGCACTGACGTGACACTCCAGTGTTTCTGGTATTGAACCTGGATTTTTAAACTAGACATTCACATCTTTCCATCACTGTAGTGAACACCTGACTTAATCAGTTTGCTAAGAGATTTCTTTTGGATCAAGGTTTTTAGATTTTGGAGCGTGTCACTGGAGGGTTACAAATTCCAAGCCTTCCTGGGATACCTAGTGAGACCTCATCTCAGAATAAAAGGAAAAGGCTGACTAGAGTTGTGTCTCAGCAGTAGAGAGCTTGACTAGCATGCACAGGACCCTTCTTGGCTCAGTCTTCAGCACCACCAAGAAAGAAAAGAAAGGGAGTGACTTGCTACTCTACTGAAGCTGGGTTTCATGCCTCACACATGGTTTCTTTTGAAGATACATTGTGTCACAACATCCATGTTTTATTTTTTTGGTCTTTTTTTGTTTGTTTGTTTGTTTTTTCCTCTCTCTGAGTATTTGCACCTAAATAATGTCTAGGAGGTAGAGAATGGCTCAGCAGTTACAAACGCATACTGCTCTTACAGAGGACCCAAGTTGGGTTCCCACACCTACCTTAGGCAGCTCATAGCCACCAGTCACTTAAGCTCCAGCAGATCTGACACCCTCTTCTGGACTATACAGGCACCTGCGCTCACACATATACAGACACATACACACTTCATAAAAACATGTTTTTAAAGTACTAAGTTCTGTGACATAGCAGAGTTCATATGTGTTCGCTAAATGTGTGTACACTTAATGTGTTCCTGCCCTACATTTTTTGTTGTTTTATTACTGCACTTGTGTGTGTGTGTGCACGCACATGATGTGTTTTGTAGTGTGCATGTGGAGGCCAGAGGCCAGCTTTTTTTTTTTTTTTTTTTTTTTTGGTTTTTTGAGACACAGTTTCTCTGAGGCTTTAGAGGCTGTCCTGGAACTCACTCTGTAGACCAGGCTGGTCTTGAACTCACAGAGATCCATCTGCCTCTGCCTCCCGAGTGCTGGGATTAAGGCGTGTGCCACCACCTCCCGGCCAGAGGACAGCTTTATGAAGTTGGTTCTGTCCTTCTACTTTTATGTTGGTTCCATGGTCGAATTCTGGTCATCAGGTGTGCATGACAGTTGGTTTGCCTGATTCTCTTTCTTACAGCTCCTGTATTCCTGTCCTAACCCTAATCTGTTAGGAAAAGCCTACATAAGAGAAGGCTCCCGAAGACTGATAGTGAGCTCCTTAGTCCATGCTGAAACTTTGTGTGAATAATATAGACCTTTGAACAATCTGTCTCTGTAGCCTAGGCTGGCCAGCCCAAAGTCTTCACCTTCCTGTGGTAGCCTCTCTCCTGCATACACACACACACACACACACATACACACATACACACACACACACACACACCAGTGTTGGAGTATTGTAGTCCTGTGTTACTATGCCTGTCAGTGATATAGATGTTTGTGATGCTGAAGTTGACCTCAGAGCCTTTATATACCAGACAAGTGTGACCTATGCCCCTAGCCCCCAGCCCAATAACATAGGTCTTAATGTGCATGAGTACATGAGTACGTGTGTACATGAGTTAACTTTGTCAGCTGGGTTTGGGAAGACCAGGCCTTCCCCATTCCTGCTTAACAGAACATATACTGGTCAACTTACTGTTGGTTTCCAACATACTGCTTCAAAATCAAACTGTTTTAGCCCTGACAGTGGCACATGCCTTTAGTTCCAGCACTCAGGAGACAGAGACATGTAGGTCTGTATGAGTTGGAGGCCATCCTGGTCTACAGAGAGAGTTACAAGACAGCCAAAACTCAACTTTATTGTAATTAAATTGTGTCTAAGAAAAGCTTAAGCTTAAGCTGGGTGTTGATGGCGCATACCTTTAATCCCAGCACTCGGGAGGCAGAGGCAGACGGATCTCTGTGAGTTCAAGACCAGCCTGGTCTACAGAGTGAGTTCCAGGACAGCCTCCAAAACAATACAGAGAAGCCCTGTCTCGGAAAACCAAAAAAAAAAAAGAAAAGAAAAGAAAAGAAAATCTTAAGCTTTAATGACTGGAAAGATGGTTCAGTAGTTAAGCAATTCCCAGCACCCACATGACTGCTCACAATTTTGTGTAATTCCAGTCCCAGGGGATCCGACACCCTCTTCTGGTCTCTACAGGCACTGCATGCATGTGGTGCACAGACATACATGCAGGCAAACACCCACACACGTGAAATAAAAATAAAGGTTAAGAAGGAAGGAAGAAAAACTTAAATTTTATTGAAGGGAGTCATACCCTCCTCTGGTGAACTTTGGCAGGGCTCACACATCTCATTGGATCACCTTTCCTCCGGGCATATATGCATGGATACTTCATGGATATCAGACTCTACCACAAGGTAAGTATGAGCTGCAGGCATTTCAGCCATCCTTAGCTGCTCCTGCCCTGCTTCTGCCTTCATAAAGCATACTTCTGCTCTGTAAGGGACCCACTTCCTCTAGTACAGTACTCGTGGTGTACACATCTCTAAACTTAACTCGCATTCATTTTATTCTTTTGCTCTGAAAAGGTGAAATTGATGGTAAATCCATTTGCTTATGAAGAATATAGGAAGGATAAAATTCGGCAGAAGATAGAAGAAACCCGCGCACAGAGAGTCCAGTTAAAGGTAAAGGTTCTAGTTAGCATTGAGCTCACCAGTGGAAATGGTTAAGAAGTCTGCCATTGTGACCATGGCTCTCCATCTTTTAGTTCCCGCCTTTTGCTTTCTTGGTGTACTTTCTCATGAGGGAGGGCGGCTAGGTATTAGGGGAACAATACATACTTGATCTTAACCAAAGGCCGGCACACTGGTGATGGATGATCTACAGCAGCTCCTGTTAGCACACTAAGGACGCCTGAGATTTTCAGTTTGACAGATGTTAGAAATCCACTTGTCTTGGTCTCCTGGTGTGCTTGGTTCTCATTCGTGGCATCCGTTGTGTTGGAGAGGATTTAGTGTACATAACTGTCCACCAGGCATTGGAGCCCCTGAAACACTGAGGTGGGGATTGGAGGGTGCTCACTGCGGGAAGCCCTGCCACTTTAGGTCCTGGCCGCAAGAAAGATGTGAGGAGGACCCAGACTCCTAAGAGGGGGATGCAGGCTGGTGTCCACCACCGCTGCTGGGGCCACCTGCGGTTCTCATGGCAGAGAACTGCTATTGGGCGTTTCCAGCCAAACCATGAGCAGACAGGGAGGAGCTTCCTGTGTGCCTGTTCCTGCTTTCCTGGCTCTCTGACATCCCATCCATTGAGTCAAATCACTGAGCGATAAAATATTTATAACTGAACATTGCTTTAAAATGTCTGTGTGATATCCATACACTCTCAGTAATAAAAAGACTGGTAACTTTCCTGAGATTACCTCAATTCTTGTTCCATTTTCCACAGTTGTTCAGAATTGATAATAGCAGAGAGAGATAATGGGTATGTGTTTTAGCAGGAGGAGGTGTGTGTCTGCCAGAGTGCATTTCACTTAGTACATTAAATGGAACATGATGTGGAAGAGGGCATTGGGTAGCCCATTGCTTATCTGAGAGTCCTTAAGCTCCCATCTAGAATTTTCGTTAATAATTCACCCTTTAGGGAGCAAGAGTCAGTGCCATGAGCATTTCGGAGGTTCCCACAATTGTGGCAGAGGGTAGGGCAGGTGACTGCAATTCCAGGGGTCCCAGGCTGCCTATGGCTAGCTTCCCAGTAGCTGGAGAGAGCACGCTCCCAGCAACAGGCCCACTCACAACTCCTTCCGTGCCATTTGGCCCACCTGCTGCTAGTCCTCCTGTCATTCTTTCCTGCATGATAAAGTGAGAAATAGGAATGATCGGTCCTTTGTGAACCTAGACTACTAAAAGGCCTGCTAGTCCTTAGTGTTAAGTGCGTTTATCTCAGGGTCTCAGTGCATCGTATTCCCTCTTTACCAGAAACTGCCCAAAGTTAACAAAGAACTGGCTCTTAAATTAATTGAAGAGGAAGAGGAGAAACAGAAGTCCACACTGAAAAAGAAAGTTAAGGTAAGATGTCCTAAGGAAGACAAAACACCAGTAAGTTGCTTTGCATTTAATGGGTAATAATGTATATCTTTTTATCGTTGGGGTATCCCCACCCTTGCTTTTGAGATAAAATGTGCTTAGTGTGGGAAGTTTGGAAAATGGGGGGGGGGATGTCAAGTTGAAAGCCGCTCCCTATAATTTTCATACAAGGAAGGCCTTAGTATTGGGCAGACTCCTGTCTTAGTTCTCTTAAAGTTACATGATGTATGGTTGAGATCATCATGTGTATGCTGAAATGTTACCCTGGTTCTAGAAGATGGGAATGTTAGTTTTTCACATATTCTGTTTTACAGTTTTCTTAAACCTTTTGTTTCTAAAGAGCTGTTGCTGGCTGGGCGGTGGTGGCGCACGCCTTTAATCCCAGCACTCAAGAGACAGAGGCAGGTGGATCTCTGTGAGTTTGAGACCAAGCCTGGTCTACCGAGTAAGTTCCAGGACAGCCTCCAAAACAATACAGAGAAACCCTGTCTCGGAAAACCAAAAAAACAAAACAAAACAAAACCCCAAACAAACAAAAAACCAAACAAACAAACAAAAAGAGCTGTTGCTGTTTTCTATTCTGACTGGGCTTTTATCGTTGTCTCTCTGGCTCTTGCCTGCAATTATTTTTCACTGCACTTACGTCTGTGCAGCCTCCTCTTCTGACTGAGGAACAGTTTGCTCCTGATGGTCAGGGTCATCTGCATGGGGCAGGGGAAGCCGGTGTTGGGCTTAGCTCCCCTGAGCTCTGGACCTCAGTAGTGCACTTGTGCCCCACGGTGTGGTCGGTGACAGACACTCCACATCAGCACCACTGTGCTCCGCATCACCTCAGAACCCAGCACTTTTTGGAGCACCAACTGTGTCCAGTGCCGTTGTGTTCCCAGTACCCCTCATTACTCCATTATGTTGTGGAACGACACACATGACTTCTTTAAAGTGACACCTTTTCAGCTATGCACACCCTTGATGGCCTGGGCGTCTGAAAATGAACATGAAAATTTGAACTTCTCGATCTACATGATTTTGTAGGATTTTCTGGATCAAGGCTTTTTTTAATTTTAGAAGTAGCTGCTTTTTGTTTTTGACACGACATTATGGGAAGATATGTGCTGACATGTAGCTACTACCTGTCTGCCTTTTCTGAGGTGACAGTAGACAAGGGACCAGCCAGAAAATACAAAAGTAAGCACAGTCTTAGTATTGTCCCAAGGTGGGGACATGTGCCCCCTTTTTCCAGATTCCTAATGACTCTGGAGTCCTTGAAGTTCTGTTCCCCCTCCCGCTGACAGCAAACAGTCAGGAAACCAGTGTGCTATATACTACACACACGCACACGCGCGCGCACGCCCCCGAGAGAGCACACAGGGCCTGAGTCTGGTTGCTTATTCTTTCTCTCTGTGCTCCAGCCAGCTGAGTGAGTGCAAGCTTCAGCTGCACGAGCCCCACTGCATTCTGGCCTCTCTGCCTTCCTCAGAACCCAGGCTCTTACCTGCGGCTGTCTTATGCACTGGTTGTGACTAAATGCTACCTCAGCTTCACCGTCACCTGTAATGTGTAAGGACAGGTGCGGCCACTTTAGTCCTGTGATTTCTGTGGGAATTCACACTCACTGTTCCATTTTACTGCCTCCTCTCCCTCAGCCTCTTCTGGCAGCCTTTTATCCTGGCCTATTGCATTCTTTAAGTAAATTATTTAAATCTTAGGACGCCCAAAATACATAGATGGATTTATGTTTCCGTTTCTATTACATGAACCAGTACTGATCAATGTCATAAGTTTACTCATTTAAACTTACATGTTTATGTTGTTGCTGTGTATGACCATGTGTGTTACAGGGTGGAAACGTGTGGCTTCTTGCTCTGCTGGTGTTCTCCCTGAGTATCACATTGATCTTGTTGATTGAGCCTGGGGGTGATGAGCCTATGACTTTTTCAGCTTCACAGTGTCATTTACAGGTCATGTGAAGCCACCATTGTCCTTTCTTGGTCTGAAGCTCCTGGAAGAAGAGACTGGAGCTAATTTAGACTATAGATGCCTGTGCTTAGGGTGTACTTTGTGCTCAGAGCCTTGGCGCAGTGGTGTTACAGGGTACTTGGACTAAATTCAGATGTGCTGTTTTGAGCAGCATGGTATACAGCAGAGCCTTCTCACAGGGCTGTGATGACAGAGGTAGAGGTCCGCTCATCCCCTTTCGGAGACTCTGTGTCTTTGTGTATGTGTTCATGCATTTGTGCATTCCTCGGGGGCTGTCCACGCTAGTTTTGAGACAAAAATTCTCTTGCTGGTGCCTAGGGATCATTGATTAGGCGAGAGGCCAGTGAGCCCCAGGGATCTGTTTGTCTCTGCCTCCTCAGTACTAAAATTACAGTGACACACCGCCATGCCCAGGTCCTCATGTAGGTCCTAGGAACACTTTTAACCAGCTGAGCCATCTCTTCAGCCCTTCCTTCCTTCCTTTTGTTGAGCTTGGATGGAGGCGGGTCGTACAGAAAGATAGACATGACTATGAAAGCTGGGCGCAGGCACACAACAGTGCTCCCAGTGGAAGAATTACCACAGCAGTGCTCCTCCCCAGTGCTTTCTTCAGAACTTCAGAAACTCTTCCTGGTCTAGAGAAACAGGCAAACTGAAGCCTGTGTATTTTTTTACTTACTTTATAATAACTGTTGAATAGTTTGAAAAATACTTGCTGTCTTCCCACACTTTCAATATGGACCTACTGTTTGCCTGTTTTCTTCCCACACTTTCAGTATGGACCTACTGTTTTCCTTTGTTCTAGCAAATTGTCGTGCTTGTCTAAGTTTAGGTGGCTTCCAAAGTTTCATCCTCGGCCCTGTTAATATCATTAACTGTCTCCAAGAGCATATTCATTTCTGCAGTGGCGAGGATTAAACCTAGGGTCTCATGTGCGCCAGGCCAGCTCTGTGCCACTGAGCCCCATCCCAGCCATTTGATGTCATTCCAAGTGAGATATTTGCCTTCTAGTACAACTGCTTTCTGATGTGTTTTGAGACATTCGCCTCACAGTTTTCTCAATTGCATCTGAAGTCCTAGCTAGTGCCAGTGTCCCTTTTCCAACCCCAGCTCTTTGTTCCCCTGTACCTCCCCTCCCCTCCCTCCCCCTCCCCTCCCTCCCTCCCTCCCTCCCCTCCCTCCCTCCCTCCCTCCCTCCCTCGCATCTTCATCTTCTGTGAAGTGAGCTTATCCTTGGGATACCAGTGACAGCATGGCCACACCCTGCTCCTGGGCTGTGTAAACTGGTGACCATGGGGACACATCACTGCGGGGATGGAAAGAAGCACCATGGTGGCCCCGGTCATGAACCTGGCTCTTATTCACAGAAGAGAGAAAGTTTGTGGGAGTTTATGCTGATACCACAGTTGAGTAATTTCAGAGGTCACTGAAATTGTAATCCCATTGTTAGAGGCCTGACGTTTTTTAACTTACTGTGGGTTCCCTCCGAACAGATTTTCTATCCTGTACTTCACAACCAGAACAGTGTGTGTGTGCTTTACACTCTGTCTTGAGGGCTAATGTTGGGCTTTACTGTTTGTGCTGCATTCAGAGAGGGCAAAGCTTAGAAACTATTACATTCTTCTGTCACCTGCCGCCTCTCTTCCTGGCCTTTAGAGACAGTTGTATCTTTATAGCTAAATCACTGACCACCAAATTCTTCTAGGAAGGAAGCTCTGCTAGTAAAATGTCCTGATTTTATTCTTGAAATACATAGTATGTAGTCTCCTGAAATTCTGTTCTTAGACAAGTTATATAATTTGTCATCTAGTGGTTTTAGCTTCAAACCGAATTGCTCACAAATTAAGGGAAGAGCCCCCCTCCCCCAATCAGTAAAGAATGCTTGAAAGAGTTTCAGGTTACTGCAGACCATCAGCCTGCCTGTACCTGTTAGTAGGAGTGAGCTCCTGACAGAACTCTGCCGTGCCTGCTCCTGGAACTTAACGAAGCAGATGTGAAAGCTGTTCCCAGTTACTGTTCCCACTGATAATGTAATCGAGTCTAATAAGCTGCTTACCCTACAGTCGGTTGATTGAGCACATACTGGGAAGCGGCCTACTGTGTAGTATATGTAGGTCAGTGCAATGTGATGCTCTAGAACTTGGTGCTGTGATTATGATTACCTTTCAACAAACACAAATTGAGCTTCCCATATGCACAAGCAGCATTATATTAAAGTGATAATTCATTGCTCTTGGGATGCAATATGACTGTGTGCAAACATACTGGGTTATATCAGATAGGGTTTTTTTTTGTTTTGTTTTGTTTTTGTTTTGGTGTTTTGTTTGGTTTTTCGAGACAGGGTTTCTCTGTATTGTTTTGGAGGCTGTCCTGGAACTTGCTCTGTAGACCAGGCTGGCCTCGAACTCACAGAGATCCACCTACCTCTGCCTCCCCAGTGCTGGGATTAAAGGCGTGCGCTACCAATGCCCGGCTTAGATAGTTTTAACATTAGAATTTTACCATTTACAGCTTTTTTTCAATTGCCAATTAAAATTTGTGTGATTCTTTTTAGTCACAGCAATATGAACCCTTAAGCTAGATGTTTCTGTAGGCTGCTGGGCGTGCTGGCCCTCACCCTCATCTTTCCTCGCCTCCCCTTCCTGCCCTCTGTGCCTCTGTGGGGACCCATGTTCCACCTTTGTGCTTGTTGTTTTGTAAAAAACTCTTGCCTGCCGCTGCCTTCATGCTGCTTCCTGACTGTTTCCTTCCCACTGAAGCTGGCTAGTAATGTTGGTTAAGCAGAATTGAGTGTTTATAGTGAGTATCTATATAAATGCTGTTGGTAGCCGAGCTACCTCGGATGACTGATTTCCCCTGGAGTTAGGAACCGTCCTGTGTTGTTATGACCTATCAGTCCCTTGCTCTCTAGCACAAGATGTGTGCTGCAGAGCAGATGTGTCTGTGCATTCCTGAAGAACTGACTCACTTCTAAGGCTCTCTGGGCTGATTACCTTCAAATCTCAGGGTCTCCCTGTACTGTTTCTTGTCCTCCTCTACGCTGAACAAAAACATCAGAAGAACTCTGGGTTTCTGAAGGAATGTAGTTTCTACCTGAACACTTTGCAGTCCCGGGTGAGTGCCCAGTAAGGGCTCATGAGGGTAAACCCAAAGCTCAGGTTCTCACAGCAGCCTCACACTGCATTGGCCTGTGCGCTCCCAAGTCAGTGATGGGGCGGGTTACTCCTGAAATAGGAGAGGCAGTATCCCAGCAATGCTCTCGGGGCCACTGTGCTATACGGGGTACACTTCCAGGCTGCAGTCTGGCCCAGATGGGTTGCTGGCTGCTTGCTGAGTCACTCAGCCTAGAAACCTAGGTCTTTAGTGTTGGGAGAATTCTCTTAGGGGAAAATTACATTTTTGATTATTTGTTGTTCGTAGTTGGGGTAGAGGACTAGAGAGCTACAGGAAAATGCAAAGATGTGGACAAGCTGAGGTATTTGGGAGATGACCCACATCAGCAGCTCTCAGGGGAGGGAGGCCCTAGTGTCAGCACCCTGAGCATTGTCATCTGCAGGCTAGGAGAGCATCGCCACCTCAGTTCCTCTCCTGTCACTGCACTTTTCCCTCCCTCCCAGTGCTCCCCACCCTGCTAGACTCCCCACCTTCTTCTTTGGGCTAGAGGTGGGATAGCAGGGATTCCTTGTATGTTTCTATATTGGGACAAGGTAATAGCAGTGTTTTCTCAGATCTACAAATGTGAGCTCTGAGGTAGTGCTGAACACTGCTTTCGTGTGTTTTCCAAACCCTGATGCGTGTGTGTGTGTGTGTGTGTGTGTGTGTGTGTGTGTGTGTGTGTGTGTGTGTGTTTATAAGGTAGATCACTAGCCAGACACTTGTAAACTACTTCAAGAACATTTTTATCTTATTCTTTTTTTTTTTCTTAAAGACAGATGTGAAAACACGCAATTAGACAAGTGTTCCCTAGGGGAAATACTTTTACAGCTGGGTCAAAGGAGTTTTCATTTTATAATCATTCATCTAAAGCATGCTTACCTTTAAGCAGGATAATTTGTTTATTGTAAATTAAGGAGGTAAATCTTTAAAATACCAGCAATATATTCTATTTAACAGTCTGTTATTTTAAATATAAGAACTTTGGTAAATATAACAAGGTATTAAATTTCTTCCTTGTTTTTTTTATAACCTAAAAATGGGCACATAGCCATTGACTTGAAACATTGGTTGATCGCCAATATCAGCTTTCACACATTTACAGGTGACTCTTAAAATTTACCTGGTAGCCTCCTCCTGTCTTCTGAGTAAGCCCTGGTGTGAGTTATTGCTCCCAAGACACCTAATGGTGTCATTCGGAATGTGGATGATGTCTATGTCACACTTAGTCTTAAATGAACACCATTTCCTGCTCTTTGCTCTAGTACACACCTCTCATCCTGATGCCTAATGATGGCTCCAGACTCTTCATTCCCAGTAGACTGTCCACTGAGGCTTGACAGCTAAGAGCTGTTGCCATCATTCCTTGCGGTCTGCCCACTCAGGTCCTGGGATGCCTCTGAGTCTTCCTTGGGGCTTCAGTTTATTCCTTAGCTCTGTGCTATGCAGCACGCTGCTGCCACTCTCGCCACAGTTTGCCTTGTCCGCTGCAGTCCCTAACACACTCTTCGGTTTATCATCCCGTCTTCCTTCTTTCCTGCCTCTTTCTCTGAATAGTGGCGCCCCCAGACCTTCAGAAGAGCAGTCATAGAGTAGTGAGAGTATTTTTGTTTTTTCAGATGCCTTTTTCAAGTTGCTGGTCTGCTGTTGTCATAGGATCCCCTACTCCTCAGTCAGTTGAAATGCTCTCTTCATGTTTCTTTTTTTTTTTAAATTAAAAATGTTTCTATTGTGTGTATGAGTGTGGCTTGAGGATACATATTCACCATGTGCATGCAGTACCCACAGAGGCCAGAAGACGTTGGCTCCTCTGTAACTAGAGTTACAGATGGTTGTGAGCCGCCGAGTGTGAATGCTGGGAACAGAAGAACTTAGACCTCTGCCCCGGTAGCCAGTTATCTTAACTGCTGAGCCATCCAGCCCCTCTCTTCAGATTTCTGTTTGCTGACACCAGTTTGTCTTTTCAGTCCCCAGGATACATTCATAAATATTTCTATTGGAATAATTTCTTTTCCTGATTACCTTCGAACATCTGAACATCCCTCTTAAATCTGAACATCCTTCATACATCTACATATCCTTCATAAATCTACATATCCCTCATACATCTACATATCCCTCATACATCTGAACATCCCTCAAAAATTTGAACATCCTTCATTCATTCTGAACATCATACATTTTGAATGTTTTTTCATATAGTGCCTTGTAGCAAACACATTGTTTTGTTTTTCTTCCCTTTGAAGATGGGCTCAGGAACTAGAGCTTTCTTTCCTTGGTCTGTTTTAGAAATGGTATTTACTAAAGGAAGACTTTTGAACTTGGTGTCTCTTGAAATTTTAGTTAAGGGCTTATCAATTCAGAGTCTCATATAAGTAGTAAACAGGCCATACTGCCCCATGTCTTATGCTTAGGCATGTTTTTATGTAGCTCTGCCGCACAGCTGTGGCATCCAGGACTTAGTTCAGAGGTAGAGCATCAGCCAGTGAAACGAAGTCTGTTCTGTAAAGCAAGAACCATCACAAGCAAGCTGGCCTGTCCCCTCTGGTCCAGGCTGTCACTGATTTATAATCGTCCCTGGGTGGCTGCTTTCCTCTGCCTTCCAGGCCCTGATCATGAAATAATCATCATCTGTGTCATGAGCAGATGTGTTTATTGTACATGTTAGGGAGCTTGCTATTTAAAAAAGTACAAATGAAAAGTAATTTAATGTCAGTTCTAAGCTATGCAAATGAATCTGAACAGCCAAAGCTTTATTATGTAGTGATTTACTGTGTCCTTTAAGGATAAGTCATGGTCCAAGGAAGAAAACTAATGAAGTGTCCGAGCTTCTAGGTAACTGAGTTGAAGTCAGCAAACTGCCACTGCCAGCTCTCCCTACACTTCTATGCTAACAGCTAACCCTTCCGTTGTAAAGCATGAGGTTGGAAAGCTTCCTTAGTTTAGTTTAATATGGTAGCTGTGCTTCAAAACCCATACCCTAAAGTTTTATGTATTTCCTTGAAAAATGTTGGGTTGTTCGTGTTTGTTTTGCACTAGAAATAGCAATTGAAGAAAATTCTTTCCTAATTATTAAACAGAAAATTAGCTCAAAAGATCTTAGATCATCATGTGTAATGACCAGGAATTATCAATCAGCTGCTAAGTATGCCAATAGAATTTGTTTTGTTGGTGGGAAGTAAAACCTAGAATCAACTAGGAAGTTCTAGAAACCAGTTCTAAGGAAGTTTTGGACATTTTACAATGTTAGTCTATGCCTTATGTGACTTGTTGGTTTATCATAGAGAAGTGTTGTAAAGCCATCTTCTGATGAGATTCCACTGACTTAAACTGGTCCCGTGTCTCCTTCAGAGCCTCCCGAATATCCTCACAGATGACCGATTTAAAGTTATGTTTGAGAACCCCGACTTCCAGGTGGATGAAGAGAGTGAAGAGTTCCGGCTTCTCAACCCGCTTGTCTCGAGGATCAGTGAGAAGAGGAAGAAGCAGCTGAGACTCTTGGAGCAGCAAGAGCTTCAAGCCAAGAATGTAAAGCATGCCCTGTCTCTTAGCTGGGGACAGCTTATTGTTGTTTGCCCGTCTTAAAGACCTTTAGTTCTGTCCTGTATGTGGTACTGTGTTGCGTAAGGACACTTGGACACAAGTCCACCTCCACCTTCCCTTCCTCATCCACCTCTACTCTCTTGTCATATGTGCATACACGATTCTGTGTGTTTACATAAAATCTAAGAACCTCAAATGAAAGAGAACATACGACATTTCGCAGAGACAGATACTGTGTGATAACTACTTCTTTAACATACAGCTTCTGTGAATTACAAAGCCTTTGATTGTACATGAGAGGTAATTAGTTGCATGCTAATTGCTTGACATTCACCCTAGAGTGTATCTGTTAATTAAAGGCAGTTTTCTTCTGGTGTGCGATGGAACAGCTATCAGGTACTCTGATGGGCTGCTATCTCTAATGAGCTATGTTTGGCTGGGGGAACTAGCTCTTCTTGCTGTTTTAATTTCAGGAAGAAGAGGAAGAACCGGAAGGAAAACCCAGCGATGCGGAAAGTTCGGAAAGTTCAGACGATGAGAAGGCCTGGGTTGAAGAGGTCAGGAAGCAGCGCAGACTCCTGCAGCAGGAGGAGAGAGCGAAGCGGCAGGAGCAGCTGAGGGAGGACCGGCAGACCGTCCTGAAGCCCCAGTTCTATGAGATCAAAGCAGGAGAAGAGTTCAGAAGCTTCAAAGAGTCTGCCACTAAACAGAAACTGATGAAGTGAGTATTGACTGCTGTGCTGTGCCAGCCACGCTCTCCCTCCTTGCACACGGCCCTAGAGATGGTACCTGCCCTCTCGGTGACGGGTACCAAAGGACAGTGTGGGGATGTGAGGTAGGGGATCTTCTGCTAAGATTACGCCAAAGCCCCCTGGGCCCCAGCTGCTTATTAAACAGCCTTTGACGTTTTTATAGATTAATATATGTTAGAGCACTTTCAACCTTCAAATGCCACACTCTGGTCCCTGTGCTTTCCATTGGGCTCCCCAACCTATAGTCACTTGCCTTGTTCCATGCCCTGGAGGTCAGACAGCAACAATAGGGACAATACCTTTTTTGCCTCTTAACAAAAAGTAATGTTTAATTAGTTTGTTTTGAGAACATTTTAACAGTCCTGACTGTCCTAAGAACTTGCTCTGTAGACCAAGCTGACCTTGAACTCACAGATCCACCTGCCTTTGCCTCCCAAGTACTGGAATTAAAGGCATACGCCATCACTGCCAGACCAGAAATTATTTTTAACAACCAGGTCAAGGGCTGGGGGAATTCCTCAGTTGGTTAAAGTTTGCTGTTCCGGTGTGAGGGCCTGAGTTTGATTCCCAGCACCATGCAAAAGAGCTGGATGCAGTTATTCATGCCCGGGAGCAGACTGCTCCTTGGTCAGATCTGCAAACACCAAGTTCAGTAGAGATCAAGTCTTACAAAAGATAAAGTGGAAGCCAGGTGTAGTGGCAGATGCAGAGGCAGGAGGATTGCAAATTCAAGGCCAACCTGGGCTCATAGTAAGTTCCAGAGTAGCCAGGGCTATGTGGAGAGACCCTGTCTCAAAATTAATTAATTAACTAATTAATTAATAGTCAAAAGTAAAGTAGAGAGTGACTGAAGGTACTCAGCTTTGGCTGCCAGCCTCTGCATACATGTGCACACATGTGAATGTGCACTTACACACACATAGGCAAATAAACCAAACACACATAAGATGCTTGGTCATGTTTACCCTATCTCAGTTACCTGATTATTGGAAAACTACTCAGAAATTTGCTAGAAATTTGAAGACCTTTACAACTCAATGGAAAGATGAGAAGAACAATAGATTAGTCAAATTTGAGAGACAAAGAGAGAGGTGGCTTCCAGGGCCTATGCGAGAGAGGAGTTAGAGTCCGTGTTCAGTGGGTGCAGCTTCAATGCAGACACTGTCTGTCAGTTACCCCTTCAAGTTTACTCAGAAAAGCTCGTTTCCCTGGTAACTACCGCTAGGAAGCTGGAGTGGTTGTTTTCAGTGTAACCATTGAATTAGGGTGGGAGTGTGACTAAGCTTACTAACATTCTTCCTGTGGGCTAGAGCTGGATATTAATGGAAAAAGCAAACAGGATAAGAATTTGTATTTAGGAGTTGAAGAGATGGCTCAGTAGAGAACATGTTATTTTTGCAGTAGATGGGTTCCAGTTCCCAGCACCAACGGTAGTTCACAGCCTTCTGAAAGGCCAGTTCAGGGGATGTGATACTGTCTTCTGACCACTACAGAACCAGGCCTGCACATGGTACACATATATGTATGTACGTGAAACACGCATGCACATAAATACATTCTTTAATTTATAAACGTTTTTCTCTAATTCTTATTTAGTGGAGCTGGAGAAAGGCTCCATGGCAGAGAGTGCTTTCTGTCCTTTCAGAGAACCTGAGTTCATTTCTGCCTTGACATCAGGAGGCTCACAACCAGGTGACTCCAGCTCTAGGGAAATCTGACTCCCTCCTCTGGCCTGTGTGGATGTCCCCACACACAATACACACTCACCCAGATTACAGCAGATCTGGCGAGGTGGCTCTGTGATAAAATCACTTGTGACAACCTGAGTTTGAGGCCACGGTCTACATAGTGGCTCAGAAAGAACTGGCCACTGTAAGTTGTTTGAATATCACACCAGATAAATTTAGTAAACTACATTTTTGAAAATAAAACATAAGCAATACTGAGTGAACCCACTGTAGTAAAACACTTTTAGTAAGGTAAACATTTATTTTGAAAAGAGCTGAGGAAGTGGCATTGCTTCTGTGAGCCTGCAGAGTCCTGCTTCATGAAGAACTAACCCACTGGAGTTTGCTGGCATGGCAGAAGCAGCTCATTGAATGCTAGTCTTGACTGGATTATTGTAGCAAACCCTGATCTTGCAGGTCTTCATATTGTCTTATAAAGCACTGAACTATTACCTTTCAGAGAGCTGGAGTGACTCCTTGTGTTTACTCCATGAGTCACTGCAAGGCAGTTCAGAAACAATAGCACCAAAGCGGGAAAATCATTTTTGTGACAGAGAAAGCAAATGCAGTCAGTAGTAGCGGGTTTGAGACAAATGCCTGTGCCTGTCAACACAGATGTCATGCTTTGCATGTAGCTAACTGTATTTGTGAGTTATTCACCCACTTATCAACTTCCCCACCTACTCTCCATTCATCAAACATCCAGGGAGTGCCAGGTGTGAGCTAAGACCCTCCTAGACCCTGAGGACAGGAAGGAAGGAGGGAGGGAGGGAGGAAGGAAGGAAGGAAGGACGGAAGGACGGAAGGACGGACACGTGGCTGTGTAGCTCTTATCCCAGCAGATGTCCTCTGAGTCACAGAGGTGTGGGAGAGGGACAGAGGAAAGAAGGGCTTAATTTAGGGAAAATTCAAGAAAGTCTTTGTGAGAGTCACATTGGAACTGGTTTTTGAAAGGTGTAAGGCTGAGCACTCAGTGGGGCAGGGACAGTCCCACCAGGCCCCTGGAGAGCCATAGAGAACCATCCAGCTAAGATTAACATCATCAGATCTATCCCAGTCTCTCCCTCAGTCCTACAAACACTGGGACCCATAGTGCAGTACCTCTGCTCTACGACAGTGGTGTGGGAGAATCTGCACTCCAGAGGAATCACTCAGTCTTAGAAGAGATGGAGCCTAAGCTTCCAGGCAAGAGGAGCTGACAGACTCCAAGCCAGGTTATTACCCAAAAGTGGGGGAATGGACACCAACCACCGCACTGGCTACTGATTTAATCCAAAAGCAGAATGGAACAGTCAAGCTGGCATTGAAGTATCTAGCATGTTCCCTGTGACGTGGTGCAAATCTAACACTGAAGTATGGAGCTGGGTTCTCGGCATACAAACTCTAGTCTGTCTCTCAGTGGTGGTCAGTGGGCAGATGGAGACTTTCTGGGACTGTTTCTCAAACCCAATGCCTGACTGCACTGGACTGGTTACTGCTCAGGAAATCGTAAACCTATTTTAACCAGGGTAGTCAATCCCAGAGATCTGGCGGTGAAAGGGTCACAGTCAGTAGCCCATGGGGACTGTTTTAGACTTGAGAGCATGTGTGCTGTGAACAGGGAAGACTCAACCTCAGGAAGTGGGTAGTAGAGCAGTGAGAGAAGGGAGTTGATAGACAGTGGGTTTAGTCAGGAAGCAGGTAGTGATGGTGCAGGGCCAAGTCAAGAGACTAGCCTCACAGGGCGGGTGTGCATCCTCAGAGCTGAGGGACCAGGAGGGTAGAAAGATGTGAACTGTGCTTGCTGGCCTCAGGTGGGGTATAGGCACATAGACTCTTTAGGTGTGTGGGGCAGCAGAGACCTGCAGGACATAACATGGAGGAACAAAAGCCAAATGGAGTCCTTGGGTAGCTACTGGGTGGCTCTCCTGGTCCAATGTGTAAGTGTTTGTTCTTTGAGTTGGAACTCAGTGGGTTCTGGGAATTCAGAGATTTTCTAAAGTAGTTCCTGCCTTTGAGGACCTCATCTGCAGTAGGTACTTTAGTAGATCTTAGTGGCTTGTGGGGACCTTCAGCCTGCACAGGTCTTGTCAGTCACATTGCTTGGCTCGTTCTTGTAGCCGTCTTGGAAGTCTTGGCTGTGAGTATCATGCGTCTACTTTGTTCTACTTTGTGGCTACCTAGAAGTCGTTAGGATGAGCGTGTGGCTTCACGTAGCCTTTCCTCTTGGTGTGTGTCTTTAGGTTGTTTGCACCTTTCCGTTGCTCACGGCTACGAATGTACTCATATACAAGCATTTCTTCAGAAGCTGCTCTGTCAGGCTGTCCTTGGCAGAGGCCTGTTTCCCCATAACTGCAGCAACTGTTGAGCCATTGAGTCTGCTGACAGGCGAGGCATTGAATTTCTGGCTTTTGAATTGATCTTCAAAGCTCCATATGCAAACTAGAAATATAGAGTGTTTATAGCTTTGGTAGGAAAGGCAGAGATTTGTCAGTTGTTAAGACTTACTTTTTCAGTGTACATGCCAAGTGTACGTTCAGATACCTGTGGGGGCTACAAGTTCAGGTCCCCTGGAACTGGCGTTTTAGGCAGGTATGAGCTGTGACATGGTTGCTGGGAATTGGACTCAGGTCCTCTGCAAGAATAGAGAATGCTCTTAACCACTGAGCCCCAAAGTTAGTTATTTAGGAGGACCAAAAATTAAAATTTTAATATACTAAGCACTGTTTATGTTTGGACTCCATTTGCCGTGTAACTGGATTCTGAGCTGAGGGATACTCTTCTACAATGCCCTCTGCTCTTCAGCTTGCCCTCCCTGTAAAGGGATTTAAAAAAACACGAATGGGGGGTGATTTTTAATTAAATGTTGCTAATTAAAGAAATTACAAAGCATGTGTGCATTTTAAACCTCAAAGAAGTATGTCATTCTCCTTTCCTGGAGCAGTAATGAATATCTCGTTTGATTTTCCCCTTGTAGTTTATGCCCATTTTTCTCTTTCATACCAAGGTATCCTTACTAATCATTTACTCTTCCTCTGAGCAGCCTCTGTGTGCCACCCTAGGTAGCTGTGTCTGTCCTTCCTCGACTCTGACCAGTCACACTCAAGCAGCCCACTGACTGCTGGGTGCCAGCCACACTCAGCAAGCTGACGTTCAAAGGGAGGGAAGTCGAGCTTTAATGTAGAAGTCTGCACACCAGCCCCAGCTGTCTCTGATCTTCTGCCATGGCTTGTCCTAAAACTCAGCTTGCCTCTCCAAGCAGCCTAGACAGAACAAGTTTTTACAGGCGCAGGAGAGAACACTGGGAGAAAAGCAGTTATGTGCCGTAGCATGGAGGAAGTCGGGGCATTCTTAGAAGAGTAGTAATTTCCCACAATTGACTTGAAAAGTCTTTTACTTCACAAATTAAGGTTCTCTGTGGCCCACTTGGTCTCTGTGGCTCCGTAGTTGTTCAGAGTTCCTGTTGACTTTGAAGCTCACCCTTCAGAGTTGTAAAAAGAACAAAGTGAGCAGGCTGAGGAATCTGCCGAGGTGGACAGTTTGCCACACTGCAGTCAGCCTGTGCCTCACATGAGTTGTTTTAAAAAGTGAAACTAGAGTTTCCTTTCTCCCAACTTGTCCTGTGGAAACTTGTCACTGGGAACACTTGATGGACATGTCTCCTGAAGAGATGTGCATACATCAAGTGCGGTCTGACACACACCCGAAAGGCAAGGCTCCCTCCCCTGGAACCCAGGCTTTAGACTTCATGAGCATACGGCCCGGGGCGAGTCATTTAACACTTACCTCCCTTTGCCATCTATAAAGCATAAATGCTCCTGTCTCAGGGATGTTGAAAGGATTAATTAGTTAGTCTGTAAAGAACTTTGAAGATGACAAGTGCTTTCAGAGTGCTTCTTAATGACATTAGCGCCTAGGAAAGAGTGCCCGGCTTCGGTGCTAGCCACTTAGCCTCAGACTGGCTTCAGACTAACGAAGGTGTGCTTAGCACATTACTGGAGTTACAAAGTGAGATCAATTTCTCATGGTATGAACATCAAACATCGGCTTCAAAGGACCATCACTGGGTAGCAGCTCCCTCAGGAGCAGGGTGCTAGTCCATAATTAGTCACAGAGATCATTTCAGGGTAGAGAGGACGTCACACAATGACCTTTGATTTTTGGTCTGTCAGGTTCTTAGGAGTGTGTCCTTCACCTTGTTTTATTTTTATGCCCTGGTGTTTTTGGGAGTGTAGGAAACAGAATTGTGAAGGAAACTGTTTTCTTCCCTTCTGGTTCCCTCCTCTGTTCTCCGGTCTCCTCAGAGGGCTGTGCATGTGCTGCAACCATTCTGAAGCAGTCAGTGAACCATAGTACATGTATCTAGGCTTACTTCAGTTTTCTCCCTCTAAAACAAGTTAACAATGTTTGTGGGGGGGGTCTGACTTATGATAGAACATTCTAGTAATTTGCAAGTAAGTTTTATGTATCATTGCTGCTTCAGAATCTGAATGTAATATTGGTCCTGGAGACTGGGACATGGTAGTGCACACCTGTAATCCCAGAACCAAAGAGGCTGAGGCAGGTTTGCCTAGCATTCAAGACCAGCTTGGACTATGGAATAAAAGTCTCTGTCTCAGTACAGGCATACACACACACACACACACACACACACACACACACACACACACACATGCAGCACAGGAGTTCACATGAAGGAGTTTTAGTTATAAAGAAGAAAATTAATTACAGATCAGCCTACAGTAGTAGAGATTCCCATTGTATAGAATAGTTTAGAAAACCTAATGAAGCAGTGAATTGAGATTTAACTCTGGAATAAAATGTGTTAAAACTTTAAGATCCCAGCCAATGTCTCAGTGAAAAGAAATTGGGTACAATTTACCCAGAGTATTCCAGGACTGTTACATGGAGAAACCCTGTGTTAAAAAAAGAAAAACAAAGGAATTTACCCAAAGTGCAAATTGTTTCTGTTCCCAGACAGTATGAACAGATGGATTGTATTCAAGTTGTCCATGCAGGAGATGGGGACTGCCTACAGCTGAGGATAGGAACACAGACGTGTCAGAGCAGCCCTCTGGGGCTGAGAACTGTTTGCACATACTGCTTTGTAGAAGGTGAACAAGGGGCCGCGTGTCCACCCATCTCACCGGCTTACATACAGAGTGAATTAGAATCACCATCACTGCAGACTGGCACAGGAAATCGTGCACCAGAAACATTGCTTCTTTCGTTTTAGCTTTAGAAATACAATCCAGGAAGATAAGTGCAGCCACTGAGGCCTAGTTCCTTGACTATTGGATTAATTGGCGTTTTTGTCAGCCATTGTTTTTACAGTGTGCTAATGGAGAATGATAGTGTGAGGGCAGCCGCCTCTTCCTCTGGGTTCTGCTACACAAGTGTTACTGTTCACCGTGTGCATGAAAGACTGCATGCGATCATCAAAGTGTGGTAACTAATGCATCATCCTTTTAAATCTACAGCAAAACTCTTGAAGATCGTTTGAGACTTGAAGCAAAGCATGGGACGTTGAATGTCTCGGACACCACTGTTGGCAGCAAGCAGTTGACATTTACACTCAAGAGGGTGAGTTGTTTCCTGACATCACTTTTTAATTTGCAAAGAAAGCAGTGGGTGTGCGTCTGTCTCTGGGACTGCTTTCCCAAGCTTCCATCATAGAGGAAGATCTGTCCCCTCCTCCAGTGACTCTCTTCCAGAGCCCCTGCTGGTGACAGCTGAGGAAGAGTGGCTAGCGTGTTAGTGATAATGTGGGGAGGGGGCCTCATGCTGCAGACAGCCCTGCTTGGTCTCTGTGGCCTCCTGGCTGAGGGAGGGGCTAAACACACCCAACATCTACCTGGAAAAGGCTAGGAAGTGACTAGGAATGCCTCATGACAATCCCATCTGGCTCACCCAAATACAGCCATTTCTGGGTGCTTTCTCAGCCAGTGGTAGTCTCTTGTCAGTTGTCTTGAAGATGTCTTAACCTAGCTGCAGTGATAAAGCCTTTGCTCATTGCGGAAGGAATGAGTTGTTAAGTAGCTGCCATTAGCTAATACATGAAACAACATGGTCTCCTTCCCCAGAAAATAATTTTCTCATTCCCAGTCATTCCCCTCAACAAAGTCATCCAGTAAAAGGGTGACCCACCTGTGGTCCTTTTGTGAACTGGCATGTCACTTACATGCCATAAAATTACACGCCCTGGTTTTTCTTTTTAAGTGTGTATTTGTTTAATTGTTAGCAATAGAGAAGGAGAAACTGTGTTTCACATAGGAGCACTCTTTAGCAGTGTGTTTTATACGGTCTTCTAAAACTCAATCTGTAACTTATCAGAATTTTAAGCTAAAATGACTTGATATGTTGCTATGTTATTTTTTTTTCCAAAACCAAATGAGTAGAATTTAACTTGTTAACAAGGCTTATAGTTAGCTTATTATCTATACTCTGTAAGCAGCAGCTTTATGTCAGCTTTGCCAGCAGGGTCCTCTCAGAAGCAGACCCACAGTTTCTCTGTGTAGCCCCGCATGGCCCTGTGTGGCCGACTGCAGTGGGAAGACAGGACGCAGCCTGAGCCAACCTCAAGTGAAGGTGGAAAACACAGGCCGCGTGCACTCATGCCATTCCCTGTGGTGTGCAGCATTGGTCCTGCAGGTCTGTGCGCATGCCAGGCAGCACTCTACTGATTTACATCCCCATCACTTTCTAGTCTGTCCACTAAGCCTGCAACCATCGTGCTCTAACCTGCCGCCTCAGAGCTGGGGAGATGGCGTAGTGGAGAACACTGGCCAAGAGGCCCTGGTCATTTCCCACCACCACACCTCACCACACCACACAGAACTCTTACATCACAAGAAACCAAGTTGAATGTCACTTCATAAGTTTCTGGTAAAATGAAACCATGAGAAGGTGCCCTAAGAATTGCGTGAAGTGACCTCAGAGTCAAGTGGAGGCTTTGAAACTATTTGGGAGAATGTTCTCATGGAGCTGCCCCATAGATGCTGCCTGCAGTGTGGGTAGAGTTCACAGGGAGACTGTCTGCACTAGTGCTCTATGCATGTTCCCCCCCTGCTCCTTCAGGGCTGTGGGCTGCAGCGGGGTAGTCAGCAGGAACTAGGAGGAGGAGCAGCTGACTTGGAAAGAGCTAATTGCCCCATAAATCTTGATGAGTGGGTGACACAGTGGCAGGGTCTGCAGTGCAGCCTTGGGGAAGGAGGCTAATGATAGACTTTTGTGTGAAAGCTTTGTCTGCAGAACAATGGTGGCCTCCTCCCAGCTCCCCCTGCTGAGTGCTGTAACAACAGGGCCACACTCTCACACACACACACACACACACACACACTCTCTCTCTCTCTCTCTCTCTCTCTCTCTCTCTCTCTCTCTCTCTCTCTCTCTCTCTCTCTCTCTCTCTCTCTCGGCATATCATTTTCCAACAGTATGTAAAGAAATGCATTTTATACATTTTTTTATTTTTGTATGCGTGTGTGTGTGTATGTTTGTGTTTGTATGTTCATCTGTGTGTGCCATATCATGCATGTGAAGGTCAGAGGGCAGCATGTGTCGCCAGTTCTCTCCTACCCCAGGTGGACCAGGGGAATCGAACTCAGCTGGTCGGGCTTGGTGGCAAGCACCTTTACCCACTGTGCCATCAAAGCAGCCTGATGCCATGTTTTTGTTTTGGTTTACTTTTTTATCATTTTTTGCCTTCTAGCTTTTTTAATTATTATTAATTTGTTTTTTACATTCTAATCCCAGTTTCCCCTCCCTCTTCTCCTCCCATATGCTCCACAGAGAGGGTAAGGCCTCCCCTAGGAAGTCTACTAAGTCTGTCCCATCATCTAGTTGAGGCAGGACCAAGGCACCTCTCCACCCCCACACCCTTGTGTCTAGGCTGGGCATGATATCTCTTCATATAGAATGGGCTCCACTAAGTCAGTTTGTGTATTAGTGTTAGGTCTTGGATCCACTGCCAATGGCCTCATATATTGTCCCAGTCACACCATTGTCACTTATATTAAGGGAGTCTACTTTGGTCTAATGCTTTTATTTTTAAAAATGCATGCCAGCCATAGCCAGAGGAGTAACCAGGAGGATGTGATTGCATCACCATTCCCTACCCCCACTCAGTGAGGAGGGTAGCCTCCGAGTAGAGAGTTCTGGGTAACTTCCACACTAAGTTGGAGAGCACACTGGGCGTGGCTTACTCTGACAATGCACAAGAGATGCTGATTATCCTAACGGACCTGGAGAAACAGTTAGAGACCCAGACAGAGCACTCCAAAGATGCGAGACGGGCTCTTTTTGACATCTTCGGTTGCTTTCCTTCCCTCACCTTCCCATACCCAGTTTAAACTCGGGTGGTTTCTTCAAGAGGGAAACACTGGTGAATGTCTGCATTTTATCAAAGTGTGTTAGAAAGCGCCAAGCACAGCAGCAGCCGCTGGAGTCTGTGAGGCCAGGCCCCACCACCAAGCACTGGTGTGTGTCATACCCTATAGCTCCTCTGTCCAGCTGGCCTTCTGCTGAGAGGGGCGCCACTGGGGAGCCCTCTCAAGTGAAGACGGAGAACTCAGTAGAAACCATCCTCTCCATCAATCAGCCTGGTGCATCCCAGAGCTGTGAACCTGGAGCCATCTGCCAAGCCTGTTCTTTCCAGGGAGGCAGGGTTAATCTGTGCTCCTTCCCACCCATCCTCCCTCCCTCCCCTCCTCCCTCCTCAGCACCCAAAAACTCTTTGGAACTAATCCTAATGAGTGAGTTCATCAGGTTTGGGTCATAACAGTTTTTAATAAACTATGATATTTTTTGTTTGATTTTAAGTCTGTGTGAATGAATTCACAGTTCATATGTGCAGGCTGAATAAGCTTGAGTGGTTTTCTGCTCACTAAAGCATCCTACTGTGTGCTCAGGCTGCTGTGTGTATGCTTCTCCCTTAGGACATCCCAGAGTTTGTGTGTGGCTCTGTGTGTGTGTGTGTGTGGCTGTCTGTCTGTCTGTCTTGTGTGTGTGTGGCTGTCTGTGTGTGTGTCTGTGTGCGTGTGTCGGTGTGTGGCTGTCTGTCTGTGTGTGTGTCTGTCTGTCTGTCTGTCTGTATGTGTGTGTGTCTGTCTGTGTGTGTGTGTCTGTATGTCTGTGTGTCTGTCTGTCTGTCTGTCTGTCTGTCTGTCTGTGTCTGTGTGTGTGTGTGTCCAGCAGCAGCCAGATCAGGATGCTGACCTGCACGGCATTTGTCCCAGGACTCCGTGACTGGCAGCCCTTCCTTTGCTGCTCTCTGAAGGTTCCAGGTGATCATTGGCCTCTTCTTTTCCTTCCCTCTACTCACTTCACTCTCTTTTAGTCTGAACAGCAAAAGAAGCAACAGGAGGCTGAGAAACTACATCGCCAGGAGAGGAAGAAGTTGCGACGGTCTGCTGGTCACCTGAGGTCCAGACCCAGAAGAGGCCGGCCCTTTCACTGACCAGGAAGTCTGCCTGTGTGTGGCTAGGAAACAAGGCTTCTCCTGTGGACTCAGAAGAGAGTCAGACCAGGCGAGGGAACAGCGTGGTAGTTAAATCTCCACGTAGATGTATGTGCCATGATGGTCTGACTTCACCTACCCACCACCCTGCCCGAGCAGTGCCAGGGTGTTTTTTCTAAGTTGTTGCCCCCTTAAATACTGTGTCCTCTGGGGGTAGTTAGGGAAAGCAGCCTCATTTCTAATAATAGAGGGTCTACATGAAATGAAAACAAGAGATTATCATGTTTGCAGGAATGTCCTTTTTGGTTTAGTTTGGTTTTGGTTTTTCCAGACAGGGTTTCTCTCTGTAACCCTGGTTGTTCTGGAACTTGCTCTATAGACCAGCATGGCCTCTAACTCACAGAGATCCTGTGCCTCCTGAGTGTTGGGATTAAAGATGCCCCAGCACTGCCCAGCCAAAATGTCCTTGTTCAGTGTCTTCTGCTTCTCAGGACTGAGCCACACACAGTTTCACTCCTGTTTGCCTGGCATCTGCTGGTTGGCCCTGTTTCTATGCATGGGTTTATGCTGGCAGGGTTACTGTGCTTGCTTTTGTGTTCCCTAGGTATACTTCCTTAGCTATTTTTATATGGAGAGTATAAGTTAATGGTAATCAATAACAAGCGGATGCTGCTGGCTGTTTTAACTTGGCACAAAACCCCGTTGTGATGCGGTTCTATCTGAGATGGCAAATGCTTATAGGAGGACCTTTCATGTGCACAGCTTCTCCAAGGAGGACTCCTTCCTGCCTGTGGAAAGTTGAACACTTCACTCTGCTCCCATAGTTAGGAGTTTCTTATGTGTGCAAGTGAAATGGGAGCTCTCTGGACTGTGTCTGTGTCAAGTCCACGAGGTGGAACACGTTAATTATCACGGTCTGATGGTGATGTGCAAAAGTCAGAGCACGCCACCCCGTCGGTGTCACGGACTTGCTTCACTGTCCCTCCTTCATTGTGGCCCCTTGTGTCTTCAGCCTGCAATGTGAACTCAAGAACTTGCTGGCTGGTGGTATATGAATCTACCCCTGGTCCACACCCACACACCCCTCCCGTCCTACCTGTTAACTCCTAAAGCAGACCCCTCTCCAGGCTGAGTCCTGGCGCCCTCCCTTCCCTGTCATGGAGTTTTTTGTGCATGCTCAGAGTGCTACTCTGCCATTTTTCTGTGTTTATAGTTGCTTTTGTACTCGAGACGGAACCTAAGGGAGTTGGCTCTTGGTTTCTGAGGCTGGTAGCATGTGCAAAACTGTGCACCCCACTGCAGGCTAGGAAATGGAATCCAGGCCAGGCCATGGCCTTAAAGGGCTTGCCTGAGAACCTGGGACTGGTTTCTGCCAGCTCGCCCCCACCTCCAAAAGCACCCAGCCTCCAAGATAGCACCACTGCCTGGAGAGTTAGGGGCCTGTGGAGGACATATCGATTCAAACCCTACCCTACATTGCTGGTTACCAGCCCTAGGACACAGGACCAGGGCTGAGAGGCTCGGGAGGGCTCTGGGAAGGTTAGTTCAGACCAACCCCCCTTCTCAGAGTCCCGGAGGCTCCCTTATTATCCATAACACCCTGAGTCCCCGAAGGCACCTCGCCTGGCACAGATTCCCTCGTTTGTGGTCACCACACTGACCTTCCTCTCTGTAGAGCATTCCAGGCATTCTCTCAGCCCTTACACATTCCACTCCTTCAACTCAGAAACTCCTAGGCCTCTCAGGTTACTTTTTCCCTGTCTGCTCGATTCTTCCCTGTTTAATTTGTCACGCCCCAATGCCAGCATGCCAAGATTACAGATGACACTCCATATAAATAAGCTTTTAAAACCTTACCGTGGGGTCACAGAGATGGTTCAGTGAGTAGAGGCACCAGCTGGCTTCCTGAGTGGAAGAAGAAACCAGTTTCAGTAAGTCATCCTCTGGGCATGTGCACAGGAGCGTGTGTGTGTGTGTGTGTGTGTGTGTGTGTGTGTGTGTGTGTGTGTGTGTACACATGCACGTGCACATGAACACACATGTACACATACACACACACTAATAAACAAATATTTATAAACCTTGCTATGGAAAATGCCAAGTACATACAAAAACTGGAGGACTCTTAAAGGACCCAGCCTGTCCCACTGGTGGCTGCCACCTCCTGCTTGGAGGCAACAGATCCCAGCAGCAGCATGCACCTTGCTCACCACGAATGTTCTAGGCTGACTTGTCCAATGTTGGCTCCTGTTCCCAGAATGTCAGCTCAGTCAGGGTTGGGGAGGATGTTTAATTTGTATGTTTTGTTTTAGAACAGTGTCTGCCACATCACAGATACCTAGTTTTGCTGTTATGGGGGACCCACCAGAGAAGACCACTCAGATATAGTCTGTAGCCAGTTGAAATTCTTTATTCCATCCACTGAGACCACACTCAGGTATGCGGGCCGCAAGTACAGCGCCAAGCCTTAGGGGGTTTTCAAGTCCAGTTGACCAGAACACTACTCAGTTGCATTTCCCTATCTACAAGCACCCCAACCCCCACCAACCCCGGCCAGCTCACACCCAGTTTCGCTCACACACCCATGTGACCCCAGGCCTATAACCTTCTCTGCCTCTGGACCCTCACCCCAGTGGCCACTATTTCTCTGTTGTGTCCCTGTGTCCCTCCAGTTCTGCCCAGCAGCACCTGGTCAGTGGTGGCCTGTCTCTGAGAATCTCCTTGTGGCCTGGGTCTGCCTGCCCCTCGCGGTTCCCTTTCACACAGCAGACAGGGGTCCGTGTGTCCCTTCCACAAGCCTCCATTCCTCTCCTGTGCAGTGTCTGCCATCTCTTCCTAATGTTCTAGAGCCACCTACCAGGTTCCTGGCTTCTGGTCCTCAAGTCCAGGCACTCAAAGTAAAGCTCCCTGTCCCCAGTGCTGTCCCTCTTCCCTCTTCACCACTGGCCCCGTGACAGCCATGGTTTGCTCTCCTTACAAGGGCCTGCTCTTGTGGGCTTTCCGTTTTCACGGGATGACAGAAGAGTCCCAAGAATACAGGCCCAGGACTCTGGAGTGAGGCCACCTAAAATCGGAGCAGACCCCAGAGCTTGTATCAGATGCCCCCCAAGGCCTGTCACTGAGGGGTGCGGGGCTGACCTGGGGGTCCCGGGACCACAGCAGAAACTCAAGGGTGAGCTTTGCTGTGGTCCTGCGGGAGCATGGAGAATTAGCCACTGTGACGGGCACAGAAGAGGGGACGCAGGCTAGGACAGGTGTGGCTTGATGTCAGCTTTGTGTCCCCTGGGACATCAGGATGAGTGACGTCCACAGTCTTAGGTCATGTTAGCCCTCATAGGTAGGTGTGCCCTCTGCAGATCTTCCCATTTCTACGGTGTCACGGCCACTGCCCCTGCTCCCCCCTTTCCCCTCTGTACCCCATCAGTTGGCAGAGTCGGATCCTCAGACCAGGCCGTGAGAAACTGTAATCCTTTAATAATGGAGGGCTTTCCAAAGCTAGCATGGAGTCTGTTAGCGAAGACAGCAGAGGAAGCAAGAGGAAACCTGGATCTGGCCTGGACTTGTTCATGGCTAAGCTGCCAGTTAGTGGCCCAGCCACTTAACCTGCTGTGCCTTGGTGTGTGCATCTGTAAAATGGGTTTAATAGTATCTGTCCCCTGAAGACTTCAGAGAGAGTTTGTGGAGCTTAATGAGTGAGGTCCATTAAACCCCTCAGAAGAAAGGCGGAGCTAAATACAAAGCACTATTGTAATTACCCTGAAGGTTCTCCAAGCCAGGTTGGATCTTGTTTTAAGAGGGTTACCATGACGATGGGTTTGTCTTAAAAACTTGAGTTTCAAAGGCATAGCTGTAAGTCTCCAATGTGGAGTGAATTTCATCCTGCTGGTTTGTGTTGGGAGGGGGACACTCATTCGACGACAGCCACTGTTGCCGTTGAGGGTGACCTCTGTGCTCTGAGTGCAAAGACACTGAGAAGCCTCCAGGGTCTGTAGTTTGCAAGCTGGAGATCCAGGGCAGCTAATGACAGAAGCCGAAGTCCACTGGCCACCGTTTGCAGACCTGTGAAGAAGTGGGGTTTCAGACCCGCCCTGCCTGAAGAAAGGGCCGGTGTCCCAGACAGACAGATGGCACTCCACTGCCTGCCGTGCCGCTCAGGCCTTTGGGTTGGATGAGGCCAAGCGCTGCTGGTCGCAGCCATCACTTTAGTCAGCGTGGGGACAGGGCCGTCAAGTTCTCTTAGACTTCCACTCAGCATGTGCCGTGCTCCAGTGACAGGACCGTCTGGAGCTAAGTGGGTTACAGACGTCTCATCTGGTGTTGGTCAGATTAGAACTGTTCAGTGGCCTGAGGCAAAGTTCTTTCCTGTCTGGGCCTTCATCTCCTCACCTGAAAGATGGCACTAGTAATAGTACCTACCTCACAAGTCACGTCCAACAACAGAGTCGTCACTCAAGGTGTCCACAGCAGGTCAGCTCACCAGCCTGGTGTGTCACAGGATCAGAGCCTTGCCCAAGGGCCCGTTTCTCCTCCACAAACCTAGAACCACAGGCCCCTTTATGGCCCTATAGGGTCATCTCTGCCATTAGTGACTGCCGCCTTGGGTCGGCCGAGGCCAGATGTGTCATCGTGCTTTCTCAAATACCTCAGCAACATCCCTACTGTCACCCTATATCACCACTGTGATACTGTGGTAACAGTCTGGGGTGGCGGGAGGCTGGACTCCACAGTTGATGTTAGAGGGATGTGTTAGTATGGAAGGCGGAGGCTAGAGGTGTGTGGCTCAGTCCTGACGTCACATAAAATAAAAGGTAGGTACCTAAGGAAGTTGGTGAAAAGCCAGGCAGAGGCAGCTGGTGTGGTTGTTGGGCAGCTTTTACACAGGGAACCCTTCAGCTACCACTGTGGAGGGGGTAAGAGACCTCCCAACCCACCCCTGCCGTCTGCACATGGCACATCCCCATCGGCTGTAGAAGGTCACGCCTGAAAACGGCTCCCAACAAGAAAACTCAACGTGTCACACTCACATCTCTTAGTGACAGTCCCCACACCACAGGACACCCCGCCTGTTGCCTGCCTATCCTGGGCAGCCTTTCCTCAGGCCCTGTGCTCCACACATGGCGGGTTCTCCCTCTACTGGGGCTCCTTTAATCTGTGGGTCAGCGCGCTCTAGTGAGACTGGGACTTCAGCAGTTACCGGCGCTTTGGCGTTGTCCAGATGAAGCAGTGAAGGAGGTTTGAGGACCAGCTGCATGATGTGGGAATCAGTACTGCTTGTTAACAGCCTGAGAAGGATGACAGGGCCTCCCGCCTAGTTAGTGACATTGAGGATATAGTAAGGTCAGGGTCGGAGATAAAGAAGAGTGGTGTTCACGCCCACTGGATCCTGATGTGGCTACAGAATGTGTTCTGTGCACATGAACACATTATGACAGTGCAGACTTCACAAGGCTCAAAGGCTAGAGCTGTAATCACAAGCCATCCCGGAGCACTTTCCACAGAGCAGAGCACTCTCCACAGAGCACTCTCAGCAAGCAGAGCACTCTCCACAGAGCACTCCCAAAGAGCACTCCAGCAAGCAGAGCATTTTCTACAGAGCACTTTCCACAAGTAGGTATGCTGCTCTGCTCTCAAGAAGGACCCAGAGGCTTCTTGCCCTTGGCTGTGCGGCTGTGCAGACTACAGTGGGACTTGGGGCTCATGCATGGGAAACTTGGACACATCTCTGGTACTCCCTGGAAGGAGGGAGGGGACCCCGGAGTGTCTGTGCTCAGGCTCTGATGGCTAGGTGGTGGGCTTGATGCTGCCTGGCACAGTCTGTGAGGTGGCTATGCCAAAAAACCAAAACAAAACAAAAAAAACTGAATTCCAGTGGGAGACTAGGAAGTAACTGGCTGGTAAATGACAGAGCTGGGATTTGAAAGCGGTGAGGCTGACTGGCAAGTCCCCAGGGACTGGACAGAGCAATAAAGTCCCTTATGTGTCTGGGACCCACATGGAAGCGGTGCTTCAGAGAGAACTGAGTGAGCACAGAACCCTGGGGCTCCCTAGACCCAAGAAGCGGGGTAGGGTCGGCTTTCACTGGCAACGATGTGGGAGAGCCTCCTTTACGGGGGCACCAGCCCAGTAATCACTGGCCTACAGTAGATTGCTCCAGTGCTGTGAGCCTACCCAGTGGGGAGAGCCAGACACCACAAGTCTCTGGAGATATTTCTGCTGGAAAAGAATAATTCCCCTCGGGTCGGCCTAGCAAGTAGGGTCATTGTCTTGAATGTAACCAAGCAGGGCTCCATGTGAAGAGAGGCCAGGACTCTGCACACCCATCGCCCCACACTGCCCTCAGGCCGGGAGCTCGGGGCCACATTCAAAGTATAGGATGCTACCCCAGAGTGGCCCATCTCCTGCTGCTGTCACCTAAAATCTGAGCTCTTCTCTTGGCAGGCCTGACTTAACCCTCACTGTAGCTGCTCCCGCCCCGGCAGGAAGAACACTGTGCTTGGCTCCTGACTAAGTGATACACACTAGGTGACATAGTGACAGTGAATGACACTAGGTGACAGTGATAGTGATGACACTAGGTGACTGACAGTGATGACACTAGGTGACAGTGATGACACTAGGTGACAGTGACAGTGATGACACTAGGTGACAGTGATGACACTAGGTGACAGTGACAGTGATGACACTAGGTGACAGTGACAGTGATGACACTAGGTGACAGTGATGACACTAGGTGACATAGTGACAGTGAATGACACTAGGTGACAGTGATAGTGATGACACTAGGTGACAGTGACAGTGATGACACTAGGTGACAGTGACAGTGATGGACACTAGGTGACATAGTGACAGTGATGAC